ATATAAAATTATAATTGTAATTATTCAGAAATAACTACTATCTTTAACCTAGCATCCTCCACATACAACTGAAAGGTTACATAAGGCAAACTGCAAGGGGGTCCCACAAGCAAGTAAGTTGGGGAAGCATTGTACGATGTATACCCTTCCGGAAACTCATAACCACTTTAACATATTAAGAATCTAAATGGTCCTGCAGCAAAAATATTTGTATACCTTTGTTTAATCTAGAATTTCCCAAACTTATTGGAAGCCAGTACCCATTTTAGGTGGGGAAAATGGTGGCTTTCCCTCTTCAGTCTTTACTTGGTGTATTAGGATCGTCCAAAGAAATAGAGCCAATAGGAGATCACACACACACACATACATATATATACACATACACACACACATATATATACATACACATACACACACACATACATGTGTATATGTATATAAATATGTGAGGGCTGTCTGGAAAGTACCCAGCCATTGTTAATATAACAAGAACATATTACATGGCTGGATACTTTCTGAACAGACTCTATATATATCCTATTAAAATATACATCCTATTTTATATATAAAGTGATTTATTATAAGAAATTGGTTTATCTGTTTAGGGAGACCGGCAAGTCCAAAAAGAGCCAATTTTCTAGTTTCAGTCTGAAAGCTGGCCAGCTGTTGTAGAACTAGGAAGAGTAGATGTCCCACTTCAAAGGCCATCAGGCAGGAGAATTCCCTCCTAATAGGAAGGACATCAACCTTTCATTCTACTCAGGCCTTCAGCTAATTGGATAAAACTCACTTGCAATATATAGGACAACCTGCTTTAGTCTACCAATTTAAATGGCAATCTCATTTAAAAAACACCCTCCTAGCAACACTTTGAATTAATGTCTGACCAACTATCTGGACAACCCCTGTGGCCCAGCCACATTGACTTGTAAAGTTTAGCCATCACACTTGGTCTGATCACAGTTTTGAGATCAGCCTGGATAGGGAGGAAGACTTGAACCCATTTTCAAAGAGGTATCATTGAAAGATTGCATAGGGTTTAAGACATGATGGTGACTGTGCCGCTTATCAAGCTGTTGTCCTTCACCTCTAAATCTACTCTTCCATATTCTACTTTGTGAGGCCAGGACTGGGACTCTTCAAATTTTTTTTTTTTTTCTCTTTGGAAATGGTGATCTGGAAATTTAGCCAGATGGAGTCCTGCTAGGTTTATCCAATAGGGAGGCCTGGAGGGAGAATGCAAGGCAGGTGGAGGGGAGAAAGATCTTGCTCCTTCCTTTTTTTTGTCTTGCTGTGGCACCTTAGCAATGGCACTTCACTTGGCAATAGCAAATGTCTCCAGCAGCAGATATTTCCAGTTTCCAAGACCTTTCCACTCTCCCAGAATTGGTTTTATTATTCTTCCTTAATCATACCAGCACCTGCCAGTGCCTCCTTCTAAGAAGGCTTTGATCCCCAACTCTGAAGAACACCCGCACTCCCTGCTCCCATCCAACTTCTTGTGTACTAGCCAGCTGGGTAGTGTTCACCTCGTCAGAGCTCTGATTCCCAGTTTATAGGCCCCTCCTTAAGCTTCTGGATTCTGGCAATCCCAGGCTCTTCCATCAGCCCCATCAGCATGTAGAAGAGAATGACTTTATTTTGTGAGGCTCTTGAGGACATAACTAAGACTAACAGAGTGGCATATTTCAAATCAATGTAGGTGAGAAGGTTCCAAATAATTAGAGATGCCAAAAAGATTGAATGGGCAAGAGTGAATTTCCTACCCATTGATTTAATCAAAAGAAGCTGGATTACTGCTAAATTAAGATATTGCCAAGGGGATTTAAAGTATCAGATGGGAGATTGGGTTGCATGATATCTGACGTTCTTTCCATTTGCATAATAAAATATAACTATAACTACCACTATTGAGTGACTACTAGCTAACAAGTACTGGATCCAATTCTTTACTTATATTACTTCTAATGCTTATAACTACCTGATATTATTAGATATTATCATTTCCATTTTAAACATGTAGAAAAAGTAACTGAGGTACACGCAAGATAACTAGTTGGCCAGGGTCACAAGAGTTTTCAAGTGGTTAAGACAGGATTTGAACTCTTACGGGTTCCACTGCCCACATTCCAGTAAGTTTCAGACACGTAACTCTGAAATATCTTATTATGGCAGTCTCATAGTGCCTGATTCCAGCCAATCATTGTTTTATTTCAACTTCAGCCTTTTCGATTTTTTTTTTTTTTTGTACAAAACAAGGGAGAAGGAAAGGCAATGAGACGGGATGAGTAAAAAGTAATAACAATAGCTACCTGTTCATCAAACTCATGATACTAATCCATACCCCCTGCCGTTTGGACACACTGCTGCTTCTGTCAGAAATGCTCTTTCTTTAGCTATGTGATAAACTCTGGCTACTCCCCTGAGAGGGCTTCTTGGGTCCATCTGCAGAGAGAATGAGAGGCTCCTGAATGTCTCCACAGCATATGTCATTATTGAAGTTCACAATGCATCGTTTTACTTTTTCATTGTCGCTAATTTGTCTGACTTTTGCTGAGGGTAGTAACTTAATTTATTCATTTTTCTATTTATCTGACCTAACAATGTAAGTAACAGCAAGTATGCAAAACATATGTTCTTGAGACAATATGATATACTAGGAAAAAATACATTTCAAGTTAATTCATGGTTTGTGAAGATAAGCAAGATTACACAATTTGTCTAAGCCTTATTGTTCCCAGAGAGGAGAGTTTCAAGAAGGGAGTTTGTCAGTGGTTTCAAACACTACACTTGGGCAATATTACTTAATTTTCCTAAGTCTAATTTGTCCAAGAGACCTCTCAGCAGTTTCTAACACTATACAAACTTAAAAGTACCCATTCAATTCAGCAGAAAGATCATCAGTGGCCGTTTTGAAACAAGTATCAGTGGCATAGTGAAAGCTGCAGTGAGCCACTGAAAGTTGCAGTGAGCCAAGTATTGCACTGAATGTAAAGGACAGGAGACAGGAGGCACAGACAATTCTCATGCTGGGCAATAGATACAATTGATTGTGTTCAAAGGAGTTTTGTTTATAAATTTGAAGAGGGGCAGATTTGAGCATACAGTATTTAAATGTTTAAAGGAGGGAGGCAATATAAAAAGTTAACAAGGAAAAGGAACAATCTGTAGAGCAAGATCTCTCAGGGGCTCCTAGTTGGGAAATGGCATGGAAACAAATGGAGATATTTGTTTGAGACAAGAGAAGGGACCCCACATTTTTCTATATCAACATAATTACAGGAAAAATGATAATGTGAATATAGACAAGGTTACAGGCTTATAGGTGGTAAGGAATTGAGGCAGCTCCCACCTGGGCTTCAAATGGAAAGGGATGTGGATCAGTTGCATGGGCTTAAAAATGAATTCGTAGCACAGCATCATGGTTAAGAGCACCTCTGCTGGTGGCCAACTGTGGACTTAAATTCCAGGTCACCCTCTTACTAACTGTATAACCTCACACAAGTAATTTAACGTGTCAGTGATTTGTTACCCAGTAATAATAGTCATGCACTTCCCCGCTTCAGTGGTCTAAGGAATCGATCAGTTAATATATAAACATTCACCTAACAGTGCTGAGCATAAAATAAGTCTTGTATGTGTTAGCCAGTATCAGCGTGTGAAGCAAGGGTTGTCCTACTTCTCCTGGAGTTGGTGGATTCAGAGATTTTTAATAGAGGGAAGACAGATTGAAGGGAATACTTCAGAGAACTAAAAAGAGCTAGTGCAACATCAAAGTGGTAAGCAGTGTCAAGGACCCAGTTTACATTGGAGGTCATGAATATGATTGCAGCCGTCTTCAAGGTTTACCCCCTTCAGTCTGGTATGAATAGATGAGAAGAAGGCAGACAGCTGGGTCGACCCAACTGGAAGCTGTGAAGGAACAACAATGAGGTGATGGAATTGAGAACCCTAACAATAGGCAGACTGAAGTGATAGACCATGGAGTCTAAGCTAGATATGTTATGAAATGAAGGGGGCTTTATAAAGAGAGAGAGCAGAGGCGAGGACTAGAAAAGATGGAAAATTGGTATTATGTGGTTTTCTGAGCAAGAAGGATAAGATATAGGGAATCGTGGTAATCTGACAGTCATAATTTTAAGACACTTTGAGGACAACTAGAGGCCTTGCCTGCCCTGCTCTGGGACGGGAAGACAGCTAAGAGAAAGGGTGGGGCCCAGGAGAGGAGAATAAAGAGAATTGTGATGGGATAGGACGGGGCGGGGCTTGAGGGACGAGGGTGATGCGCCCCACAATTACTTGGTCTGGGTCAGGCAATAGGCGCCCAGGGGCGCCCTGAGGCTCTGCAGCATGTGCCTGTACTGCTGGGAAACCGAGCCTTCCCAAGTCAGCCCTGTGAGTCCGCTCTGGCCCTTAATCTCGCCTCTGCATCCCCAGCTCTGAGTTTTGCACTTCAGGCCTGTCCTTCCAGCGGTTGCACATGTGGTTTGGTACTAGGGGTTGGTAAATCCCAGGTGGAGACCGTCTAGAACCTGGGCTGCTGGATCTACCTGAGATGAGGAAAAGTCCCACCCAGCGCTTGCTGAGGGACAGGCGCGTTCAATTAACTTGTTTGTTGACTGACCCATCGACCCGCCCTAAGAGGTGGGGTGGGAATTATGGAAGTAGGGGGCAGGATACAATGCTAAATATTCAGATGCGGAAGAGATTCCTTTTGGGTCTTCGGGTAAAAAAAACTTGATTAAAATGAAGGGAGAGGGAGGTATTTAAGATACGATTTAGAAATGGGGAAGGGGTGGGAACCTTATAAACTAACAAACAAGCTCCTCTATGCTTCAGAACACCACACCGTCTCAATCAGCCCAGTTTTCCTAGGCTTTAGAAACCAGATCTAGCCTTTAGGCTAGATCCTTCAACGAAGAGCAAGGAAGCACCATTTAAGTTACTTACCAGCAGAAACATGATTTGGGGGTTGCTTGTATACCTTTTCCCTCCAGAATAAGTCTCAGTACTCTGCCTGTTCCCTGCAAAGTGGTTCATAGATGGTTCTTTTTTCACGCAATGCTGTCTCCACACTCCGCCCCAATTTCTACCTTAGATGTTCTTATTCTGATCCTGCCTTTTGCAGTTGAAATAATATTCATATAATACAGAAATAAAAACAGTAGCATTGGATTCCTATTATAATAACTAATTTTTCTCCTTTCTCATGACTTGTATGTGGGTGTGTTTTTAAATTTTTCGTATTACATAGGAAGTATCAAGACAGCCTCATCCTTCAGTAGTGACAGAAAAGCAGGTAATATTTAATAAAGAACTAAATTCTGGTTGTTTAAACTTTATATCTTTAACTTGTTCCTTTGTATCATGGGTTCCTAACATATTTATCACTTTTATTAGCTAGATATTTCTGAGATAGCTTTCTTGGGACTCTGGGACCTTGAGACTACTATTAAAATGGATCTTAACTAGGGTAAACTAAATGGCTTATATTCTTGTGTTTTAATGTAATATTTGATACATATACATATCTTTTTGTTTAAACCAGAATAATAATGTATATCTCCAATTTAAGAATTAAAACATTATGAGTATCCTTGAATCCAGCTAGGGACTGCTTCCCTAATCTACTACCTGTATCTCTCCCGGAGATAACCACTATCTTAAATTTTAATTTTGCCAATCTCTTCCTTTTCTTTAATAGTTTGTTACATATATGCCTCTATAAGTAAGTTGGTTTTTAACTTTATAAACATAAAATCACACACAATTCAGTGTATGATTTACTCTTTCTTCTCAACATTGTTTCCTAAGATTCATCTATACTGTTGCATATATTAATAGTTACAGTCCCTTTATTTTTCACTGCTGCTTAATATTATGGAAAGTATTACAGTTTATTAATCTTTTTTTTAATGGAAATTAAGTTGTTTTCACATTTTCCTATGATGAGCAGTGGTACTGCAAGCATTCTAGTACATGCTTTCTTTTGGAATATGCTAGAGTTTCTCTTGATTATTTACGTGGGAGCGGAATGGCTGGATCATAGGGAAGGCGAATTTTTCATTGTTATAAAGTAATGCTACATTGTTTTCAAAGCAATTGTACCAATTTACACTCCCATTGGCAGTAGATAAAAAAGTTCTTGTTATTCACTTCCTCTCTATCTAATACTGCATTTCATTATCTTCAAAACATTTAGTTTCATCACCTAGGTCTCTGCTACTTGTAGATGCCATACGATGGTGACATAAAAAGTTGTGTGTGATATGCAATGTTTAAGAGGAGTAAAGAATATAATTGTTTTCTTATTTCCATAAAGAAAATTCCCTGGGTGTCTTTAATGAACATTACCTTTAAAGTAAAAGTAAGCACATGTATCCATGAGTCTGGATCTATCTAAATGTGCACAGCAGTGAAGTAGGAATCAAGAGTAAATAGTCTCATTTGAAAACCCATCTGATACTTTAATGTATTTTTCTTCACATATGAAAGAAATGGTTTTCTTTTTCCTATGTCTATGTAGCTAAGTCATAGGCATTGATTGTGCTTATCTTTTTTTAATTGACACAAACCAAAAATGTAATCAGCATGTTACTTTTATATTTTATAAAAAGTATGATTTGTTTTCTTTCCTTTTAATTTTCCTAAAGCTTGCAGATAAGCGTATTCATGATATGCAAAACCTAAAGAAAGAGAAGAGGAAATTAAGTAAACGGTTTGCAAACCCTGCTCCTATTCCAGACCGAGGACTTCTAGTAAGTATAGAGGTTTCACTGAAATTAATTGATCCTTAAATGTACTTGACATCTTCATTTTTGATTTATATAATATTCACTCCAAATTTTGTTTCTCCCTTGTCTTTTGAGAAATTTGTGATTTCAGTCTTAAATATCCTCTAATCAAATTCTCATCTATTATTTATATCTTCTTTGCAGTTATCCTGGAGGTGATGTGGTTTAATGAAAATAGTATGATCTTTGAAACCAAGTCGTTCTGGATTTCAGTTCTTGTTTTGCCATATGTTAGATGACTGCCAAGGTTATTCACTTAAATCTTTTGGATTATATCA